GAGTTCTTAACCATCGCGCCACTCGGCCGGCCCGAAGATTGTTTTAATGAAACTTTACTCACCCTTCCTGTTAGGGGGTGATTGGAGGCATCAGGAAATATTTCTCAGTGGTTTTAATTCTCTAGGTGTCTTGATTTTGTATGTGCTTTCCAGTGAAGAAATACATATTGGATACGAAAAGAGAAGGCCACATGACAGCATATGGGGGTGTGTGTGAAAGACAGCACCTAGGTTTTTATTTGATAATTTATCAAGCTACCAATATAGCATACCCTTAATAGCTTTGGCTTGGTATTAGCATGCGCTGCTAAAGAGGAAACGGCAATCACTAAAAAATAAGAATTATTTTAAGATTGGGAGAACCCCAGGCACAAGATTTTCTGCCTTAACAGATTTGTGCCCCATACATGGAATGGGAATAGTAGTAACTCACAGAGCCTTAAGAGATCATGTGTGTAGACACAGAGAACCCCTTAGAGATTATCTCTGTAGACTGATAAGACAGTAATCAAAAATACCTCAGGAGAGCTTGGTCTGTACAGCAAAAGAAGAAAGCTCACATTAGACCAGACTCAGTGCCTGCACAAACCAGAACCCTCATTCAGATGGAGGGTACAAATATAATCAATTTGCCAATCACTCACAGTTTGGGAACTCTGGGGGATGGCCCCAGACTCCTTCTGAACTGGCAGTCACGTCCGGTTGGTGACCACTTTCAACTCTCATTTCCCAGAATGCAATGTAACTGTACAGCCTGTATAAGGTATTTGTATACCTTGCATTGTAGGGGTTCTTCTGTTAGCTCATATTTTTGGCTACTTAAAAAGTTTTTTCTCTCTTGCTCCTTTTCTTAATAATGCATTCTTTCACGGAGAGAAGTCTCTTCTACTCCATGTGATCATTATGGAACTAGGAATCTCATTTCCAGAGCCACATTAGTTGATTCAGGTGTAAGTACATGTCACATCCTAACCAAACAAAAGTTCCTGGGAAGTATAGAAGTAAAATAAAAAACAAACAAAACACACATTTTATTATTTTTTTTAAATCTAGTTCAAATAAGATCATTCAATCATATGGCCCTTCAAAGTCCCAGCTACATATCTAAAGGTTTAAAATCCATAATTAATTAACCTAGCCTAACAAGTAAAACATACACTCTCTTTTGAGTCAAACCTAAATGATTAAGAAAAATTTTAATTGAACAAGTACTAGGCCACAAAAGACATCTCAACAATTCCAAATGAATTGATATTATAAAGATCAAGTTATCTGAGTAAAATGTCAACACAAATGATCAGCAGTAAAAAAAAAAAGCTTATAAATTATACAAGTAAGAATTAAAATTATTTAAAAGTTGCGTGTAATTAATTAAAGACATGGAAACAAAATTTACAACTAAAGCTGTATTTATAGAAATATATAACATAATAAAATTTATAAAAATCAAAATTACTTCACCAACAATAACAAAATTTGATTCTTTGAAAAGACTAATAGTAAAATGTTTAGCAAAACTAATTAGAAAAGAAAAAAAAGGGTTGAAATAAACATTATGGAGAAGTGCATATATCTACAAGTGTAAGCTAGGGTGTAAAATTTTAAAAAAGTACTGACAAATTTACTACAACATACTAAAAAAGTTAGATGAAATGAACAATTTAAAATAAATGAATTACCAAAATTTATTACCAATGAAAAATTCTTAACTGAATAGAAAAATTAAAATAATAATAAAATATCTCTATTTATCATCCCCTTTCTAATTTCCTTAATTGCTCAGTCAAGTAGTAAATAATTTTTATCTCTTCTGAAAGAGTTCTTGAGAGACTAGAATAGAAATATAAACCATTGATCTTATTTTATAACAGTAGAATAACCTTAATAAACAAACTTTGCAAAGGAAAGATAAATCACAGATCAATTTTACTTATGTAAACAGGTGAAAAAACTGTAATTAAAATATGAAAAAAATTGGATCCATCAATTTATATAAAATAGTAGTATATCATATACAAGTAGGATTTATTCCAGAAATGCAAACATAGTTCAACAACAGAAAAATCTATGAATGTAAATTAAAGTTCAAAAACCATAAGCTTGCTCTTATAGAATAAGAAAAGCATTTGCTATATCTGATCTCTCTGTTCCTCAAATATGCCAGGTGAACTTCTTTTAGGATTTTTTCAATGATTGACCCCTTTGCCTGGAACACACCCACCTCCCGACATTCACAAGCATAACTCCTCCAAGTCCTTCAAGTCATTGCTCCAATAAAATCTCAGTGACACCTATCATGTCCACTCTATTTCAAATTGAAGCCCACCCTCTTTTTTCTTACTCTCCCAACCCAATTAGCCTACTTTAGCTTCTCTTTTTATTCTATAGCACTTAACACTTTCTAACATATTACATGATTTAATTACTCATTATGTTTATTGTGATTGTTTGCCTTCTCTCACCCTAATCCCAATAGATCATAAATTCTAGGAGGGCAGGAATCTTTATCTGTTTTAGTGACTGTTATATTTCAAGCACCTAAAAGTGTGCCAATGTTCTGTAAGTGCCCCCAAAATATTTGTTGAATAATTTAAAAATGCAATAAATTAGTAATGAAAAGGAATTTCTTCAACATGATAAATCATATATGCCAAAAAATCAAAACACTTCAATATGAATGGTTTTCAGTTATCACACACATTGTTGAGCTGTACCAGTTGAAAAAAATATTGAAATATTTTCATGCTGTTGTAAAAACATCTTTACCTTGAATCCCCCAAGTGCCTCCTTTCTGCTATTTCAGTCACCCTGACTCCCTTCTTGGAACCCTGGTCCTCCCTATAATCAATTTCTTTTGGTCAGTGCCAATTACAGTTATTAATTACATAAAATGAAATATTTTAATATTACCATTATTTGAATCAAACATGAAAGAAAATGAAAATGAATGAATTCACCCAAGGAGAGTATGGAGAGTAAAGAGACATAAGGACCAAGGACAGAACCTTAAAGGTATCAACACATAGAAAAAGGAGAATATGAAGAAGATGGATAAGCAGTACCAAAGATGTCAGAAAAAAATGTAAGCGTTTACTTTTACAAAGACAAAGGAAAAAGAACCTTTTATCTGTCATGTGATTGTTGAAATTGTTTAAACAATATTGTTGTGAGTTTGTAAACCATACTAATTGATTTGATTGCTTTGACATTTGTCAATTTAGTTAACCCATCCTTTACCCATAAAGAGGTCCAATGATCTCATTACTTGTCTTGCTTCTCCCTCTGGGCACCTCATCAGTCATGAATATGTAGGATGACTAGAATATTCGCTGAGTATTTTGGGATTGTGCAGGCTTTGGTTTCATAACAATTTTGAAACTATAAATCAAATAACATTTGGTATGGAGGATAATATAACAAAAAATTTTATTAGCATAAAAAAGAATTTCCACAAAATACTGTATATATAACAATATAGGAAAATAAATTATTATAATTTCATGATTTGAATTGATTTCAATATTTTCCTTAAATATTGTGGTATTAAGGGGTTTTTTTTTGGTAAATCTTTGAATTTTTTTCTGAATTCTGATGCTGTATCTTTGCAATTGTTTGCAAAACACTGTAAAATTGAGGAATTTGGTGCTTAGAAGTAGGTATCAAATTCAGAAAGTGATTTAAGTAGAGGCAGTTATTTATAGTCTAACAGATGCCTTCTGACTGTGTGAACTTCGACATCCAAAGTCTCAGATTTTTCTTCTACAATGTGTGGCTAATAACTGTATCTATACATCACAGGACTGGTGTAAGGATTAAGAAAAATAAAGAATATAAATGATTCTGTACATTGCAAAGGCACATACTTAACATGGAATCAATACTTGCTAATATTATTTAATACAACATGGCCAAAAAGTCTAGACTTCATTTACATGTAGTTTGATATCTTCCAAGTTCTGCTTTTCCACTTCTGTGTGCTGCCTCTCCTCCCATACCAAAGTCATGCGGTCATTTTCCACTGTGTGACAGAGAAGGCACACAATAATTATTAGCTTAAAGGTAGCAATTGGACATTCAATCTTTGAAGGGTCTTTGGCATTCAATTTAAAAGTGGATACTTTGTATCTCTGTGTTTGGGTTTCCCAGACTCTCCTTTTGGGGTCATTCCACCCCCACTCCACTTCTTATTGTCAAAGGTGCCTAGCCCTAGTGTTAATTCTTTTTTTTTCCTGTTAAAGTCTATATTACACTCATTACAGGCTTACAAGACACCATGAAAAAAAACACATGAACTCTGAAGCCAGCCTGATCTGGATTTAATTCTTCATTTTTACATTGAACTAGCTGTGTGATTTTCTACATTTTTTTTCTTTCTTTCTGAGTATCACCTCTGTATAATCTCTAAATTAGGAAAAACACCTCATTAGTTAATTGAAAAGATTAAATAAGCCATTTTAAAGCCCCGGGTACTTAGTGGGAAACTCAATAGATGCCTTCTTATTTCTCCTAACTGGCATCATGACATAAATTAGTATTAGTCATTTTTGAGGGTATCACTCACCAAATATTTTGTGAATTATAGCTTTGTACATGTATTTGAAATAGGTGTCAAACATCAGTGAAAAAGAGTGAGGGAGAAATACATAAGGCAAGTAGGCCATCTTGATACTACTGTAAATCATCCCTGCAAGAATGCAGAAAACAAGTTTCCCACAGGAAACCCGAATCCCGAATTTTGAGCACATATCTTTACTTATTTTCTTAAATTCTTCACAGTTTTGATTGGTGTTATTTGCACTATATCTCAATTTATATAATTTATATATTATATATAATATATGTAACGTATATGTGCATATATATTATAGAGATCATGCAAATTATACATATATAATGACATATATAATGATATATATCAACATAAATATTTTACCTGTCACCAACACGTGAAGTAAAAATCAAATTATGCAAGATATTCCTTAAGAGGGTTATTGTAACTGTTTATGTTGTTTTCCTTTAGAGCATCTGTCAGAGTATTTATTTACTCATGGCAGGGGAGGGGCAGACATCTAGGGGATCAAATCTAATTTAATTTAAAAACAGTATTTTAAAGTTGGTATTGGAAGAGACTGAGAAACTGTTCTCTTGGCTGCTTTGAAAGCTAAGGATTAGTAGCAAAGTTCTGACCTGAAATGTAGGTCTTGTGACTTCTTTCCAGGAGATTTTTCACTGCATGAAAAACCTGTCTGCAATGGCCTTATTATTTAATTTAATCTTAGTTGGATGCAAACTATTAAAATATGAGGATTGTTGGAAGGCCTCACAATATACAAAGGCGTTTTTAAATGGTAATATTAATCATCTGGAAGTGAAAAATGTCCTTCAGGAAGTCGCTGAACCTTTCCTCTAATATATTATAGGTTCGTTTAGCATTTATTTCACATTTTGTAAATTCCAAGGATACAAATTTTAATCCTAAAATGTAATGGAGCATATGCAACGTTTAGGGGAAGATTCAGCCATTTTCAAAAGGAGGTTAAGCTTTGTGCTCAGTGATGTATATTTTAGGAATTCTCCACGTGGCTTAACTATGATTATGTCTTGATCGCTACAGGAGGTAAACACGCCTTCGCCTTGTAATGGGGTCCCTTGGAAAACAGTTGGAAGCCAAGGGACCAACAGAGGGTGAGGACCAGCTCCCTCAAAACAGCCTTTTCTAACCTGGCCAGAATCACTGAGCGAGCACTATCAGGCCACTGTTGGAGGAGCAAATAAATGCCCAGAGTGCTTTTCTTTTGCAAGAGATGTAAATGGCCGGCTTGGAGAGAAAGCAAGGGGAAAGGGTTCTCTGAGTCACCCACTTGTTCTAGTCCCGTTACCGACTCTCAGAGAATATTCAGAGGGCGCGAGATAGGACCATTTCTATTGTTTTCCCTGCTGAGACAAAAGCGGGGTGGTGATGGTGGTGGCGGCGGCGACGGGCAACTGGTGCCTACCGTTTGGGTTGAGCGGATTGGGAGGACCGGATGGCAGGAGGATGTGATTCGTTTGGGTGTGGAGCGGGCTTCCCCCGCCCAGCACGCCCCCGGCCGGCCCAGCCTGAGCGCAGGGAGGACGCGGCCGGGTAGCTGCAGCGGCCTCTGCGTCAAGCGGCGGTGGGGCGGGGAGGTGCGGCGCCCAGCCCCGAGACCTGGCTCCCTCCCGGCGCCGCCCGCAGCCTCCCCCTCTCCCCTCAGCCTGTCGGCGGCCGCAGCACGGGCGGGCCGGGCACGTGGGCGCCTCCGTCACACCCTCACTCACACTCACACACACCCGCGCGCACGCACCCGCTCGCTGCATCTCGTGCTCCTTCCCTGGCGGACACACAGAGGGGCTCGCGAGTGTCTCGGTGCCAGCGCGCAGGGCGGGGACCCCCTCCAGCCACCCCCCCAGGACAGGCCCTTGGCAAGCAGCTGCTGCTCTGTAGGTAGCTCCACCGCGGCCTCCTTCACAGCCACCGGGACCCGAGCCTTTAGCCACTGCTGCTCCTGTCGGGACGTGGAAGCGGCGGGAGGCGCCGGTCAGACGCACTAACGGTAATGACTCGCTCCTACTGCTGAGCGCACGGTTTAGGTGGGGTGGGGCGCACGGGGAGCCACCCCGGAGCTCGGGGACCTCGGAGCTCGCGGGGTGGGAGCCGAATGGATGGCTGGATCCCAGGAAGGACTCAGGCTGTGTCCTGAGGTGACGGGAGGGAGGAAGGGAGGGAGGCTCCAAAGCTGGGGTGGGCGAAGCCGGGCTCAGCGGGCGACCCTCCAGGCTCTGTCTGCATCCTGCACCTGTGCACAATCGGGGGGCTGGGGAGGGGGGCCGCGAGAGGCGGCGCGCGGGGGGAAGCACATGGGTCGAAACGTGCTGCCACCCTTCTTCTCGTCGTGGAAATTGCCCACAGCATCCCCGGGAGACTAGTCGTTTCCAAATCGAGTGTGGGTTGTCCGGGATGGCGTCCGACTGGTGCAAGTCCTACAGGAAAGTTGGGAGGGCCGGGACGGAGCGAGGCGCACCCGAGGTTCTAGCTGAGTTGGAAGCCGACCCGCGTGCGGTGGGCGGCGGGGCGGGGAGAGGCGCAGCCTCATTCCTCATCCGCTTCTTAGTTGCTTGTGCAACTACTGAAAGCGACAACCGGAGGCGGTGTGTTTTCACGTGACCCCAATTTCCTTGTGCCGAAGGCGTCCTGCGATAAAGGTTCCTAACGTGGGCCTCTTCCGAGGCACGTGGCCACCGAAGCAAGCGCAGCCCGTGTGTTTCTGCGCGTCCCGGGATTGGAGACGGTGGTGGGGCTGGGGTTTTCAGGAGAGGCTGGCAGGAACTGGAAACCTAGACCGTTTCTCCGTTTCCTTCACATGGCTGGTCTGTGCGTGGCCTGGACAGTTTGGGACATAAGGAGAGCCTTTTAGTCGTAACAGACAGGCACACCAGCCTTATAAATAAGAATGAATCAAAACGCCGGAGACGCCCCCAGACAGGTGTCACCCGCTCTGTCGCAGAGGACGTGGGAGCGGGAATTCTTTTCCGTTAAGCAGAGAAGCGGCGTTTGCGCGCGTTCGCGAAGAGCGAAGCCGCAGGCTCGAGCTCTCCACTGTCTAGCTCTCCTTCTCCCCTTGCGTTCCTTTTCCCTCGTAGGGCGATATTGGAGTAAGACGAGGCGGGGTCCGCACTCGGGCGTGGTGACGTAAGCAGTGTTTGGGTGCTTATGCAAATGACACACTGCGACCGTTTCTCCCGATCTGGCCGTTTTTCTTCCAGGTCTTAAAGGTAGACCCAGTATTATTCTGCACCATTTGTGTGGATCACTTACTACGCAGAAACCGAGAGGACTGACGGGTTTGCTGTATGTACTGCATCTTGGGCTCCTCATCACCCAGTTTTTAAGGCTGTTTTACAGCTGTCAATGCCTACTTGCTTTCCCGGGATCCCTGGAACAATGTGTTTGCTTTGGGAAATACCATTCTCTGACGAAGCAACCCCACCTAGCCCCTTACCTCACCCAGGTCCCATTTCTGCAAGAGGTGCTGAGGTACAGACCTACTTGTCTTCAGCGCCTAGTACTGGGCTTGTCTTGTAGCAGGCACTTAAGTACTTACGGATGGACTGAAATTTCCTGAAGAGTACGTGTTTTCATTAAATTTGGAGATTTGGACCATCAGACGTCTATTTTATTTTTAAGAGTGCCTTTCCTATCCACATGATCAATAATACATGCATATTTACTGAAATAAAATATACTCTCCCACTAAATTTTAAATTGTACTTATTGATGATTTTCCAGCAAATGAAACGTTCAACATATTCTTTTTTTTTCCAGAAAGACAGAAATCAACAGTTTTGAAAGGATGATAACCTCTTACTGTTTGCTGACACGTTTTCTTTTTCCGATTGCATGGTTATATTCTTGATTCAAGAATTACTCTGTATTTCCTATATATGTAACAATCTGCAGTATTGTAATGACATGAAGAAAGGTATTTATGCATGTTTCTAGGAAATAAGTGCTTTATCATCCAATTAATAAAGTAAATAAGAAGTACTAACCTAGTCTGTTCAGGCTTCCATAACAAACTACCATGAACTGGGTGGCTGAAAACCAATAGAAATTTATTTCTCAGAGTTCTGGAGGCTGGGAAGTCCAAGATCAAGGCATGGGCAGATTTGGGTGTCAGGGAAGAGTCCTCATCCTGGTTTATAGATGGTGCCTTCTCACTGTGTCCTCACATGGTGAAAGGGCTACTTAGCTCTCTTGGTTCTTATTACTTCCCAAAGGCCCTACCTCCTAATTCCATCACCATGGGGTTAGAACTTCAACATATGAATCTGAGTGGGGAGGACACAGACAGTCAAACCTAGCAAATAGTAAAGAATTTTTAAATTGCATTATATCTATTGGAGATACCAATAATCAGATGAGATGCCTTACTTGTCAATTATTGAAAATTTAAAATTAAGTTAGGATGATTACTAAAACCTAAACTCTATTTTTATAATAATTGACTTATCCAGGGATCACAGTTCTAATTTTACTGTGTGCATGTGCATGTTAGAAAGTATGCTTGTCCTGTCATACAGTAAAATGTATGAATACACAAGACATTTTCATTCTTTTTAACTCTGAGGTTATCATCCAGGTAATTAAAAAAATCATTGACTTAGAATGATGGACCTAAAAGAGACCTTCTCGATTATCAAAAGCTTTGAAAACTTTTCTTAGCTTCTTTTGGAGAGTATGTTAACTCTTATTACGACATACATATGCATAATTGGGTATAATAATATATTCCTATGCAGAATAGATTTTAAAATAGTTTCTGAGCAGATGGCATTATTAACAAAATTCATGGGCATAGTCTGATGCATAAAAACATTCCAGGTTACATGGCAGGAATCTTTGGATTTATTTCCAATTTGCCTTATAACATAAAAGAAGTCCTACCAGCTCTTCTAGACATATTTAGTAAATTATTTTTAATAAACAAATTTATCTTCTTAAATATTAACTTTTACCAATTATGATTGTCTCATATTTCTAGGTGAAAAACAAGCCCTATAGACTGGGCTACAGGTTGTTTTTTAAATTAAATTAATTGGGGTGACATTGATTAATAACATTATATAAACTTCCAGTGTACAGTTCTATAATACATCATCTGTATATTGTGTTATGTGCTCACCACCTAAATTTTAGTCTCCTTCCATCACCATGTATTTGACCCCCTTTACCCCCTACAACCACTCCATATCCCCTTTCCCCTCTGGTACCCACCATACTGTTGTCTGTCTCTGAGGGTTTTTGTTGTTATACATATGGTTCTTGCCTTTTCTGTCTAATTTAGTTTGCTTAGTATGATACTCTCATGATCCATCCATATTGTTGCAAATGACAGTATTACATTTTATCTCACGGCCAAGTAATATTACGTTGTATGTATGTACCACATCGTCTTTATCCAGTCATCCATCAAAAGACACATAGGTTGTTTCTATGTCTTGGCTACTATAAGTAATGCTGCAATGAACATACGGTACATCTATCTTTACAAATAAACGTTTTCAAAATTTTCGGGTAATACTCAGAGGAGGGATTGCTGGGTCATGGTAGCTCTATTCTTAATTTTTTGAGGAACCTCCATACTATTTTCCATAGTGGCTGTACCAAGTTACATTCCCACCAGCAGTGTATGAAGGTTCCTTTTCCCCCACAACCCCTCCAATACTTGTAATTTCTTCTCTTATAGAATTAATAACAGCCATTCTAACAGGGCGTGAGGTGGTATCCCATTGTAGTTTTGATTTGCATTTTCTTCGTAGCTGGTGAAGTTGAGAATCTTCTCAAATATCTGTTGGCTGTTTGTATGTCTTCTTGGGAAAAGTGTCTGTTCAGGTGCTCTGCCCATTTTTTATCTGAATTGTTTGTTGTTGAGGCGTATGAATTTTTTTATGGATTTTGGATATTAGCTCCTCATCAGAGGTATTGTTTGCAAATATTTTTCCCATTTAGTTGGTTGCCTCTTTGTTTTATTGATGGTTTCTTTTGCTGTGCAGAAGTTTTTTATTTTGATACAGTCTGAGTCATTTATTTTTGCTTTTACTTTCCTTCTCTGGGAGTCAAATTTATAAAATAAATCCTCACTGAGACCACAGTCCATAAATTTAGTATCTATGTTTTCTTCAGTGCATTTTAGTGTTTAAAGACTTTTACTTAGGTTTGATCATTTTGAATTAATTTTTCTGTATGGTGTCAAATTGTATGTGGCTTTCCAATTTTTCCAGCACCATTTATTGAAAAAGCTTTCTTTTCTTCATTGTATGTTTTTGTCTCCTTTGTCATAAATTATTTGTCCATATAAATGTGGGTTTATTTCTGGGCTCCCAGTTCTGTTCCATTGGTCTGTATGTCTCTTTCCCTGCCAATGCCATACTGTTTTGATTATTGTAGCTTTGTGGTGTCAATTGAAGTTAGGGAGTGGGATACCTCCAGCCTTGTTCTTTCTTCTCAGGATTGCTTTGGCTATTCAGGGTCTTTTGTGGTTCCATACAAATCTGCTGTGTGTTTTTTGTTTTGTTTTTTTGTTTGCTTGTTTGTTTTCTCTATTTCTTTGAAAAATGCCAGTGGGGTTTTGATGGGTTGCATTAAATCTGTATAATACTTTGGGAGATATGGCCATTTTAACTATGTTGATTCTCCCAATCCATGAACACAGAATGTCTTTTCATGTCTTTGCGTGCTCTTCTATTTCTTTCAATAATATCTTATAGTTTTCAGTGTATAGGTACTTCACATATTTTGTTAAGTTTATTTCTAGGTATTTAATTTATTATTATTTTGTTATTGTTGTTGCAAATGCAAATGGCCACTGCAGGGTGATTGTAAATGCACAGTATTACTTGATACAGGATAGAACTATTTTTAGTCTTGAAGGTCACTTTATTTCATTGTGATCAATGTGCTAAGATATCCTTTCACATAAGATTAATTGATTGCTATCTTTGAATAGAATGCTTACCCTGGGAGCTTTTCACCAATCAAATTGGCAAAGATCAAAAAGATTTCTCACTATATTGAAGAAGGCAGAGGAAAACAGGCAATCTTACACATTGCTGTGGTGCTGCAAGTTGAGACAGCTTTGATAATGGGCAGTATTTACCAACATTATAAAATTATATACCCTTTGATCAAGCAGTTCTGCTTCTAGAAATTTATTCTACAGATATGCACATGCCATTAGTTACTTGAACACTGAAGCAAGTAATCAGAAATACCTAAATATATGATATACTGTGGACTGTCATCATACTCTCATTAAAAAAAACCCACAAAATGAAACAAAACAAGCTATTGTATTGAGAGCAAAGTTTTTGAAGATTTTTTTAAGTGAAAAACCAAGATACAGAATTTTGGTTTTTGCAAAAAAAACCAGTTCTGTAAAAAGAAACAGGTTGGATAGGTGAGGAAGAAACACATTTGTTTGAATATATATATTAGCTTGAATATCCACCAAATATCTGTGGAGAACTTTGGTAACTTAGAGGGTGGTTGAGGTGGGACTGGATATGCTGGGTGTAAAGGGTGAGAAGATTTTCTTCACTTTATGGCCTTTAATACCATATCATTGTATTATTTATTTAAAATATAGATTAAAAATATTCTAAAGGGAAAACAATACCAAATACCATTGGGAAAACAATGTTCAGGCATCAGAGGCTGTAAAATGAAATGATTAAGGTATAATAGTGGGAATTTTGACTTCATGATTTTCATAGTTTCTGAATTTACAAGAAAATTTTCTCTTTCAACACTTTTAGTAGTAAAATTATATTAGAGCAGCAGATGAGATTTAGTAGATTTACTAAATTTAGCCAGTTATATCAGCATAAACATGCATAAGTTTTATAGTGAGTTGACTGAAGATTGTTTTAAAAATTGTATTTTGAGGTGGTCATACATTTAGATGTAGGTGTTCAGATAAAATACAAAGAGTTCTTGTGTGCCCTTGAGGCATTTTCCCGTAAAAGTAACATCTTGTAAAGCTGTTCTACAGCATCATAATCAGAATATTGACTATGATAGAGTCAAGTTACAGAACAGTTCAATCACTGTAAGGATCCCTGTGTTGCCCTTTTATAACCACAGCCACTTTACTCCTGCCCCCAATCCCTCCTTAACCCTGATAACCACTAATCTATTTTCATGTTTATTATTTGTCATTTCAGGAATGTTACCTAAATGGCATTGTATGAGTCATACAATGTGCAAGCTTTTGGAATTGTCTTTTTCCGCTCAGCATAATTGTCTGTAGATTCATCCAAGGTATTGTGTGTATCAGTCATTGGTTTGTTTTTATTTCTGAGTAGTATTCCATGGTATGGATTTACTAGAGTTTGTTTAAGCATTCATCCATTGAATGACATCTGGGTTTCCAGTTTAGGGTTATTAGGAGTAAAGCTGCTTTGGACACTGGTTTACAGATTTTATGGAACATACGTTTTCATTTCTCCAGCGTAAATGCCCAGGAGTGCAATTGCCGGGTTATGTGGTAGTGGCGTGTTTAGTTTTCTAGAGACCTGTATCATTTTACATTCTTACCGGCCATGTATGAATGATCCTGCTTCTGTGTATCCTTGATAGAACTTGACTGTCCCTATATTTTAG